GGGGCTTTGTAGAAAACGAAGCGTTTGAGAGAGGCGGGGCATAGAGGACCTACAATAATGTACAGTATTAGAAAAATAATGTGTTTTTTGAACATTAAAGCATGTCAACATATTCTGTTACACCAAATACCCAAAATAATGATCTTTAAAAAAGCATCATATGACCCCTTTAAGAACACTGACAGCAGCTAGTAAATTAGGCACGGTCACTTTAAGAGACAATTCATCCAATATAATGATACACATTCAATTTCTTTCTCAACTGTTTACTTTCACTTAAGACATAACCTAAATTTTTTTCGAGGATACTCGCAAAGACAGGTATTGTGACAATTTCGTATGTATTTGTCGTTTCAAGAACAAGAAGAGACAAAACTAAATTTGGTGTTCAAGGACTGTGAGACGTGGCTCTCACAAATACGTGAATGGGCCACATATGTTTTTTTTTTTTTTTTACTTTGTGCTACGTCATCGCCCCCTTTTGTTACCTCGTTTTGTAAGCTAGTTTGTCATTGTATCTTACTGTTTTATTGTACGTGGCTCTCTGCGTGCGCGCCGAGCGCACAGAACAGCGCGCGGGTGCTGAATTAAGTTTTTCATGTCTTTATGTTTGAACTGGCGAGGTGTATTTGTTCGTTCAGGCACGGGAGGAAGCGAAGAAGATCTCGGTTCAGTGTTTGCGCGGCTCTCCGTGTGCGCACCTTGGCGCGCGAACACTCAGTTGAGTTTTTCCACGTCTTGTGTTTGAATGCTTTAAACTGTTTTGAATGTTTAAATTGGCAAGACTTAAAACACGTGCAATTTATAAGCTTTCATGAAGACGTGCAGGCCATCTTTTTATGCTGGCCTCTAGCAGTCGGTTGAAATCGCCGGGGGCCCCCCTCAGCCGTGGGCCCCTATAATTGTCACCACCTTTCACCCAACTAGCGACGGCCCTATGCGTAAATCCGGCCCTGTCGGCAGGTTTGGTTACGGTCCGACAAATACGTGAATGGGCCACATATGTTTTTTTTTTTTTTTTACTTTGTGCTACGTCATCGCCCCCTTTTGTTACCTCGTTTTGTAAGCTAGTTTGTCATTGTATCTTACTGTTTTATTGTTGTTGTGCTTTTTAATAAAAAATTACAATGAATCCATCTTTTGTTTTAGTCTTAAAAAATGAAAGGTGTATAGATGTATGCAAAATAGACAATTATCTTTTATTGTAAAAACGTGACAAGATCGCGAAATCGAAAGTGAAAGCATCCGAAGCCCAATGTTCTGTCGATTTGTGCTACCCTACCCTTACAGTAATGCAGATACATTAAATATTGTTGTTCAGCGTGAGAAAAAGGACGCAATATTGATGTGCGCATGCGCAGTAAACCCTGGTAGCATAATCTGACAGGTAGAACACAATGTCAGGACACCTGTTTATAACATAGCAAAAGAGGATAAAGAACGGGTTGAATGTTAACCACTTTCGTTTTCATATAACTATAAACTATGATAAAAGTTCATCAGATCACACAGTTAATGTAGGTCTGATGACAAATTATTGCATGGTCAGACGTGCCAATGCATAGGCCCTGTTTTTTACTGTTGGCAACTGTTTAACTGTTGGAAATAAAAAAAAAATTGGAGTGTCTATTTACACTAAATGCAAATAGCCTTGTTGGCAGAAGCTATTTACACTAACTCCACCCACCAACATGTGATTGGGCTGGTCAACATTACAAAAGACGATCACCATTGCAGATTCAGTGGCGTAGATGGTAAAGTGTGTGTCATATTCTTTTTGACGCGATCGACCCGGGTTCGAATCTGCCTTTTGGCGAACTTTTTTTCTCCCTTTTCAAATTTTAAATCTCATCAGAAAAGCATTTATTTTTAATAAAAATGAAGGAAATAATCAAAAAGTTGATTTACAAAAAGTAACTTAATAATTTTCTTTTTAAATTAAAATTTATACTCAAGTTATTATTGCACACTGTTTTATAATGTATATTTACAATTTTCAACTTTTCATTTGGTTCATTTTGATGGTGCGAATTGAACAAAGAACTGCAAAGGGTTACATGGACCGGGTATCTTCAGTTCAATCGTTTTTTTAAATTTAATATTGAAATCTGAAAAATGAAAAACGGCACATATTGTGTGCCATTTTTCATTTTTATGTTCAGGGATATAAAAAAGAATAAAAGAAGGAGGTTTTTGTCAATGAATGCATTTTGTGCCAAAGCAGTGATTATTGATCCACAGTTTAGCCCACATAGACTGCTGTTGTGCTCGCTGTGTGAAGAGTTTGGAAAAAGTGACTTAAGTATTGAAAAATGTGTCCTAGCGTAAAAAATGAAAAACTATACTGGCCCAAGCAAGGGTATTGTTGTAGGCTCAAGATAAAAAGGCACACCATGAAGTGGATTTATACACAATATACTGTAAATTAAGTGATACTGTAAAAAAAAGGTAAAATCCAGTAATTTACTATTAAACAGTCACATTTACCAATTGAAATGAACGAATTTCACTCAACTATTAGTGAAAGTTCATTGCACTTATCAGAAAATAGCTGTGTGAAGTGAACTCAATAGTGAATAAGTGTTAAAATGATTTTTTTTCTTTTTTAGTTATGAGGAAGATCTGTTAGTGTTTAATATCTTGTTATGTTGGGAGTTTTGTGGGTTACAATTGTGCTATATAGAATAAACTCTGTGTTTAGTTTGAGGACGGACTAAAACATGTTGATTTTCTGCTGCATGTTACTTTATTTAAAAGTCAGTAACTGTGTATTTACTGATGCAGTGATGTTCAGGCATGTGTGCTATTGCTAGCTGATTATTTCAGTTTATTAATATTATGATTATTATACAGTTTTTCTCAATTGCTAACCAGTGTTGGGGAAAGTTACTTTTAAAAGTAAATTCACGTCTGTACAGTAGAACACGGGAGAAGAAACACTCTTCAGCAATTAAAAAAAAACAAGCACAATTGTTAGTTTCTCTAAAGTCATTTTTGCTTGCCCCCCTGTGTTTCCACATCATCGAATCTGGCCCCCTTTAGGAAAAGTTTGGACACCCCTGGTCTAGAACTACAGTAACATCATGTTCACACAGCACACACAACTCCTCTGTACTCCCGATTTCTCCCAATATGGGGACAGGAGAGCTGTCAGTCAATAAATGGGAAAACAAAGTAACTGGCATTACTTTTTTGAAAAAGTAACTCAGATATTTTCTTGTAAATTAAAAAAGTAATGCGTTACTTTACTAGTTACTTGAAAAAAGTAATCTGATTACGTAACTCACGTTACTTGTAATGAGTTACCCCCAACACTGTTCTTCACACTATAACTGATTCTTTTGGCCTAATTTTCCAAACCATTCATACAGTTCTCGAAACAGACACGTTTCTCAAAACCTTTAACACTTTTCACCTGTTTGCACACACGTTCCAATTTGCTGTGTTTTCTGCAAAACTCTACACAGAAACGCCATCAGTTTGCACAGGTTTAACCATGTTCTCATTCAAAAAACACAAACACACAATATCATTAACTCAAGCATCAAAAAATTAACTCAGACAGCACACATTTATCCATGTGTGAACATTAAGTAGCAAAACTGATGACACACAGTTTACACAATACACATACAATATAATAACAGTATAAGTACAGTATAAGTACAGTATAATTCAGATGAGATAACTTTCATTATTCTGTGTATAGTAAATACTGTAACACAAGTTGTACAGTAAACCCTCAAACTCATTACTGTTGAATTGATTTGCAGCCAAGTATGTACTGTATTTGTGCAGAACTGAGAGACGACTGTCTAGGCGAGGCAGAGAAGTCTTTTGTCAGAAGACTTAGAAACTGCTATAACAAATAAGGATACTACCAATACTGTAATGCAAATTGGCAGAGGATGCTGAATGAATGAAGTTCGTTCGTTCATTTCTGTAAAGTAACTGAAAGTATATTCCAATGTGTGTTTACTGTATATTCAGTTGTTTGGTCTTTGGACTTTTCTCTTGTAGTGCTTTTCATCTACTGTAAGATTTATTTACTGTAGTGTAATGAACGTCAACTTTTCTTAAAGTTTATTGCTGAATTGTACTGTATCTGCACCCCTCTATTTATGTTGTATAGTGTAACAGACATTGACTAGCAAAAGGATTCCTATTTCCCAAAAGGAGGTTTTTGTAACAGTGTTTTGAATTGATCTCACTGGTGTTTTCAAGACAGTGAAGTAGTGTGTGTATTTGACAGGTTTGTGTGTCATCTGAGGCCAAAGTTTGAGTCTGACAAAAGAGAACATGACTAAAGTATTTGATTTTGACCTGGACGTTTGCACAAGTTGGTGTATAGTTTTGAGACTGTGTTTACAGTTGTGAGGAAATGGTGAATTGATTCATGAATTGTGTTAGCAATCGAGAAAAACTGTAATTCAGTTCCAGATACACAAAGTATTTGAGCAGTGTTTAGTTTAATTTTATATTAAGGAATATACTTTGTTTAGTGAACTAAAATGAAATATGTTGACAGTAATAATGTGCTGACAGCATAAATATTAGTTTTGGAACTTAAACTTAAATGGTTTAAAGCAATTTACAGTGTTAGAGTTTTTTTTTATGTAAATAAATAAATAAGCGTGACCAATAACACCTATAAGTGAACTCAACACTGCATCACTGTACACTCACAGATAAACCGCAGCCGACTCTGACTGTAAAACCCCAGAGTTCAGTGTTCACTGGAGACACAGTTACTCTGAGCTGTGATGTGGGACAGTTAACTGGATGGACAATTCACTGGAGAAAAGACTCAAACCCTGAATCCACGGGTGATGCAACTAAAACAATCGAGTCTGTGAGCGTCTCTGATGGAGGAAATTACTGGTGCACAGCACAACGAGGATGCTACTACAGCGAGTACAGTAATGCAGCTACGATAACAGTGAAAGGTCAGCGCTCTCTTACTTTCTATACATTTTTTAATGGAAGACAACTTTATGTGTTTGTTATAAAACATGATAATTACTGTCATACATTAACAATGTGTTGTCAGTTAAACTAAATGTCAAATATAATAATAATAATAATAATTTAGGTATCACCAATCATCTGAAATATTTTCAGACATGTGAAGTGTGTTTTTTGCTCATTTCACAGAGAGACCCAAACCTGTAGTTGATGTTCATCCTGATGGACGTGTGTTCAGAGGAGAGACGGTCACTCTCACATGTGACACACAGCAGACAGGAGTCTGGCAGTACATCTGGTATAAAGACAGAAAACTAGTTTATAGCTCAAGACAAAACCAGAACAATAAAATCCCATCTGTGGATTCATCTCATAGTGGTGTGTACAGCTGTACAGGAACTCAGTCAAAAGCACCAACATACTCACAGATGAGTGACGGAGTTACACTGACAGTATCAGGTGAGTCTGTTCATTTTTCCTTACATCATTTCAAAACAAACAGATTGAGTAGATAAGCAGGTAAATTTGATCTTAGTTTGACTCACCTATCATGTTCACAGTCAGATTATGTTATTATGATCTAGAAGTCTACTAACAACGTAAGTCTTTACTATCAAATTTAATTCAAACTGAAAGTTTGATCAAACTTTGAAGAAAGGTCTCTGTGGTTGTGTTTGATAATTATACATTGCATATTTTAGCAAATGTAGTCAGTCTATGGAGAAACTGTATTCTGTTCACAGTCCATCTCAGGCGTCGTAGGCTGAAATTCTGTACATAGTTTACACACTATAAACTGCAGACACAGTGAGGGTTGTACAGTTGTGTGCTGTGCTGATCCAAACACCTCAATCTGAACAGAGATTTAAAACACTAGGCTTCATACACTTACCGACTTTATAAATAGTGACAGAGGAAAATTGGCCATCATACACTACATGACTTACACAGAAACGTGCGCCTTGTTGCCTGGAGACACTTGACAAATAAAAATAACGTGTTCTTAAATCTGCTGAAAATATCAAACATGTTTGACTGGGTGGAATCAGAGTCTGACCAGAGCAGACTGTGTGCACTACATGCCATTCACCGTACAGAAAATACGATTATCTGAGAACAAATGGCTGATTTGAGCCGCAACTTCAGCGTCTATTAAGGGGGCGGGACGCTTCAGATTCTAAAGAGTGTTTGATTGGACAGAAAGTTTGATGAGAAGCTGAAGTGTAGGGTAAAAGAACATTATTTTGTGTATTTGGTGTAATGAAATGTGTT